TGGCAGTGGACTTGTTTAAAAAACAGCAATATTTGATTTCCCAATGTGATCATGTTAAGTGAACAGTTAAAACAGGCATCTCATACAAAAAATGCTGTTCTGAAAATCCCATCAAAGTCTTTTCTAGTCCTACACGCATTGGACAGAGATCCTAAATTAAATATGAGATTGGACTGGTTTTGCATACCCTAGTAGGGTTTATACATTGAATAAGCCTTGTTAGCACACCAGTTCTTTTCTCCTTTTTTCATTCTTTTTTTTCTTTGCTGATTTTTATACAGAAGTCTTTGTTTACCAGCTTTTCCTCTCTATAAATATCAAGAGGAAATACATATATTTTTTGAAAAGCTACTCACATTGAAGACCAGCAGACCCATGACTGTTTTCAAGCTTTTCACATCTTTCAAGAGCATCTGAAACTCAGATGAAAAGTTATTGTAGATTTGTGTCAATCACAATTCATAGTAATGATTTATATGGAACAAAAATCTTCATCATCTTCAACAAGGGAGTCCAAATAAATTTTTATTTTTAGCAGGAAAGTTGAGTACACACAGAAAGATTATGAAATTATTACAACAAAGCTCTTCATCCTTGTTTTAATTCCAATATAAGAGAGATTTAATTAAAAAAAAATCTATATCTCAACATTTACAGCATCATCCCAAATACCAGGTTTGTCACTGTAAAATTCACATAGCACTTCTGCAATTTGACTCATACAGAAAATTCATTAATCATCTTCAGGGATATTTTCTCTACATACTATAAAGAAACAATTGCATGTACACATATCAATGTGTAATTCACCTAGCAACTAGAATATAGTTCAGAAATGTAGCTGAGTTTATAATCACATCTTCACCTATGAGATCTCACTGTTGTTCAGTAACAGTCTAGTCTGGTATCTTTACCTTTAAAGCAAATTCCCCGTTGTCCAGGAACCAGAAAGCAGAATTTCCCAGTGTTCTTTACCATCTTCCCTTGCAGCAATGATCAGATCACATCTTGTCCAATACCATTCTCAAATTCATGGAGAAGCCAGCTGGTTTTAGAACCTATCAAAGTCATTTTTTTTTTCTTTTCTAGGCCAAATGATCAGTTAAGAAAGTTTTCCTTTACACACAAAAAAAAGAAACAAAATGCTGTAACTGTAAAAAAGACAACAAAGTTACTAGCAGGCAAATCTAAAATTCTTTTTCTAATATAAACATGTAGAGAGGCTGGGAGAACAGGGAACATTGTCATTCTTGCACAAAATATGCATATTATACAATCAGAAATACTGACTTTAAGTTGAAACTCTCAGTGAAACTGGTAAGAGATGGGACATTCAGGTGTATTGCGTTGACTGGAAGGATAAGCAAATTGTGCAAAAGACTATGCTAATTCAGTCTTGGCTTGACTCTCGTGTGTGCAAACCTATTCATTTCTTCTTACTTGGCATAAACCACAAGGTGCTAATCTAGCTTACCGAGTGAAAAAAAAATAAAGACACATTTTCCATAATGAAATTATATTAATCAACAGTTCGCAGTATATTGCAAGGCATAGGAGCAGCATGTTTCTGTAAGTATAAGTTATTTTCTTTCTATGATCAACTGAAAATCTACTCCAGCAAGAAAAGGCAAAATTTCGTTTCTCTAACAATCCTTTGTGAGGAAAAAAAAAAAAAAAAAAAAAAAGTACCAGAATCCTAAAGCAAGCACTGAAGGTATATAAGATGAAATCTATTCACTTACATGGGTAAGAATACTTGATCAATGTACATTCAGGAATATTGAAACTGCTGCCACATAAGTAGGGACTTTTAGTAAATCTACCAAGCATGAGCTCCTGTAGTAAAAATACATAGTAGTGAATCACTTACCTGTCTTTCAGACACAGGAAAAAATGGATCTCAGCAGCAGCAAGATTTAGAACATATTTTCAATTAAAAACTGCTGATATGGAGATAAACTGAGACCAAATGCAAAAGGAGTTTACCAAAAGTTGATTGTGTCAGACTAACCTTGTAACTGATACTTTGCACCAAACAGATAATGCATGCTTAATCAATCTAGACTTCAACTGGACATTTTACAAAATGCTAGTTATAACTGAAGCACTTCCATGCTAGCCTGGAGAAGGCAGTGCTTAGCACAAAATGTAAAGAGGAATGGCTAGAAAGCAGATACACAATTCTACTAAAAGAACAGTTTCTAGACTGAAAGGGTAATATTAGTGGAGAGCTTTGCAATAAGTCTTCTGTGTTATTTTCATTAATGACCTAAGCACAAAAACTCAGGGTGGAAATCAGGTCCACATTCAGACATGTAGCTTCAGATATCTATGGTGTGGTTGTCTCCAGACCAATGGAGAGCTGGTCAGTGCAGCCAATGGAGCTGTATCATACCAAGCACGAAAGCTGAAACAACCAGCAACAGCAGTGGAGGAAACACTCTCAAGTGTACTAGTCAGTTGCTGAAGACAGCATGATATTACTGTGAAAAGTAGGTAAAATCATAGAGTGCAATACATCTGTGAAAATTCTGAATGAGGCAGGTGACCTAGTGACAAAGGCCAGAAACAAGCTCGGGTACCAGTGCTCCTTTGCCTATGTCTTTACTGGTAAGGTCTGTGTGCTGTTTGCTTGTGGAGGCTTGCAATAACAGGGAGCTGGACTAGATGACCCAGGGATCCTTTCCAGTCCCATGTTTTGTTTGCTTGGTGGGACAGAAAAGAACATTCTTTTTCGAAAGTGGTTTTCAGTGGCGTGGTTAGAGTTGACAGAGAATGGGCTCCATAGACTTCCAGCTATTTGGGAAGGAAGGCTCTTCTGACCAAAGGTGATGGCACAGTCAGTTAATCCACAGGCTTCCAAACTGTGTTAGAGCTCATAGAAAAGTATGCCCATAGACAGTATTTTTAGCCTAAACCTTTTCATGGTCAACCTGACTTATCTGTTCCATTCTAAATGGGTAAAAAAACAGTCTCTTTTTTAAAAAATAGTACCTCTTATTTTGGAGTCTGATGCCAACATTGGTTTGGATCAGCTTTGTCAATGTATGTGTTTGAGGGACATTTTCATCTCAGTGTGCCAGAGCAAGTATTCTTCACAACCTGACATTCTTATACTTTCTTAATATACTCCCAACTGTGCATATTCATTCATGTGTGTGCAAATAAAGGTAGTGCTTATTTTGTGACAGACTGCTGGAAAGTGCCTTTGAGCATTAGACTTGGCCTATAAATGGTGATCATTCTGTGTCTATCTACAAAGCCCCCTCCCTAGTACTAAGCCCCATCCTTGTTACGCTTACGCACAGCAAATCAGGTAAAGATAATGTATTGCTTTCATCTTAAAATTCCTTTGCCTCTCGCAACTTTGAAACAAACTTTGCATTAAACTAACATATTGTGCATGCACAAACTTCATTTGTTTTTTATTGAGACACATCAAATAAATTGCAAAAAGTCAGGATAATAAGCTGGTAGGATCTGTTTGGGTTTGTCTTCTAAATATACGAGAAGCAGTTTGGTAGGGAAGGGTAATACTTTTATTTTACCAATTGAAATATTTCTGATTCAGTCTAATTTACACCAATCTATATTGCTGAAATAATGCACTATGCTGCTGTCTAGAGGGGATTTTTATTGCATGGTCATTGTATAAAGACACTGCATGTAGTTCTGTTTCTCTGTCTTTGCAAGACCTGACTGAAACTGAATTGGCTTTAATCCCAGACTAAAGCTGGGATCTGCCCAACTCTGCAGTTTGTAAGGTGCCCACTGATCGTACTGGGGTGGGGAATCTCTAAATGAGAGTGGCTGAAGTACCATATTTCAGCCATCTATAGTCCATGCCCTCCTGAGGAAACAAGGCACAACTGGAGACGGTATAAACAGTTTGCTGAAATAAACCTGACTCATCCCTTTCTCTCTCTTGGGCTTGGCAACAAGCTGACACTGGCCAAAAGCTGTCACAATTTATAGACCAGAGTGCAATCTGTACACAAGATCATTCCTGTTAATCACTGTCCTGCTTTAGGTGATGAACCTAAAGTATCTCTGAACATGCAGATAAAGCGATAGTTAAAATAGACAACTTCTTAGTCCTCTAACTGCTTATGATTTCACTTTATACTATTTGAAATTTTATTCAAAATCTCTTTTGTATTTGGAGGGCATCAAGACCTCAAAACAATAGGCTCTTTCAAATGCAACTAAAGACACTTTTATAAGAAACTGACTTTTAAAAACAGTACATTCCTGAACTGATATATTCCAGAGCAGAATACATGTTTACAGGCAAGTTACGCAGGCATATGGAAGCACAGTCTTAATGATTCATAAAGCTGTTGAGACTTTAATTGAGTAGCATTAAGGAGTTCAAGTTAATGATGTTAGCTTTCAATTTAAACCCTAAGACTCAGAGGCTTATAATGATAGCTTTCGTCAAAACTCTTTATTGAGGATATTACCTGAAAGTGGAATACTTAAAAGCTACATTACATGAAAAGACATACAGCTTTATATCTGTATGTGGAACTAAAATGGCCTGTAATGATTATTCATTTTTGTGAGTTTGACTCATAATTTTTCTGTGTATCTCTATCTCCTATTTCAGTTTATTCTCTTTAGGTTTCAATGAACTGCAAGGAAAACACAAATTAAATTCCAGAGGTGGATGAACAGCAGTATGTTATGCAGTCAGTTGTAGAAAGAAGGCACCTGTACAACCTCTATTTTGGACAGACTTTTTCAGTACCATTCTCCTCTGAATGTGTTCTAGCTTGGTTTTGTGTATTCTACCAAACATAATCATCCTCCAAGAGATACCTACATTTCCAAGTCTCCTCCTTGTCTGTGTACAACACACTGTGTCCCATCTGTTTCCACCAGCTCTAACCAGGATGCCATTAGTCATGTACAATGAACACAAGGTGGGAGGGAAGATGGTGCAAATTCTCAAGACAAAGCCAAAATGCTTTGCTCAGTGGGATTTCCCTTTAAACCAGGTCCCGATTACAAGGAGCTGGATGTTCACCTTCGGAGAATGGAGTCTGGGTTTGGCTTCAGGATCCTGGGAGGAGATGAACCTGGACAGCCTGTGAGTTATTTCTCCCTAACTTTCCTTTTTATAACTCTAAAATCTGTGTAAAGGTCAGAAAAATATTACTACATAGCTGAACCCAAAGGAACACCATGTTAAGCCATAAGTAAAATGGCTTTTTTATTCGTCCATAGAAAAAACAGGACTCTCAGGTTGTCCGCATCTAAAAGATGTCACAGTAAATTAAGTTAGAATCAGAAGGAGCTAAACTGTGCATCACTCGGCCCTTTACTGCAGAGTATGACCTGGCATCTTTTAATCTTGACTTTCCAAAACTGAGTTTAAGCAGAGGATTTTAAAAACCGGATTATGTAAGACTATGTATAACTGTGTTCAATGTAAGCAGACTATATCTGTGCATACAGTTAAAAGATACTATTGACAATGCAGTTTATTTCCAGAAAGACAGAAAGTCCCACCGGGGCACAGTAGTCCATATTCCAGTTTAGATGACAACATCATGTGATGCATCAGGCATAAAAATGGTAGCTTTATATCATTAGGAGGGAGACATCCCCATAACCAAATAACAGGTAACAAAACCAGCACAGATTCATTGCCGGTGAAATAAAATATAAAATAAGACATATACACATTTTTTAAAAGAAATGTGTACACATTTTTGTAAATTAGTGAGATATATATATATATATAAATACCGTAATTTTGAGAGAGTATGCAGAATTAGTACTCCTTCAGAATAACTTTGATGATGTAATGGTTTGTCAGCAAGGACTAATCCCAACTCTATAATGATCACATGTTATTATCACAACCTTATGCATACTCTAAGTCCTGTGTAACCTCATTTCTAAGATAATGTATAACTAGTTGATAGACTTATGTATTCCATACTCAAATTCATACAGAATAATATAGTTGTCATTCAAGCATTAACATCAACGAACACATGGCTCTGTGAAAAAAAGAGGCATATTTTAAAATGGTCAACATCTGTTGAAATACTGATAAATATTAATAGTTTACTGATGCCTCCTGTAAAAAGAAAAAAAACCACTGTATTCTAAAAAAGGTGCTTCAAGTGCCGATTGAAATGCAGAGACCCTGTTTTAGAATAAGTGTTTTTGAACGGATTTTCAAAGTTAAATAAGGTATAGCTGTACAGAAGGACTCCAAAACAACACTGTTTCATCATCTACACTTGCATTGTGCCTAAAGCCCCCTTGGCATCTAACCTTCTTCCATGGGGCATGTCCCAGAGCACATAAAGTGAGGCCACTGAGCCATCATCTGCACGTTATCCAACTAAGCATTTTTTCTGTCCTTTTTGGATGGCCCAGCCAGTATGGTTTCTCAAATCTCACCTACTGGGTGAAGCCAAAAAGAAATCGGCTAGGAGCTAGAGGAAACATCCTATTTTATCATTTTATCCTGCAAAGAATTGGCACTAGTGGAAGGTTTGGAAATCTCCCTCTACCTGTTTCGGACAGTAGTGTCTAGTGGCATTTCCCACCTCCCAGGAAAGTGTCGCTAGCTGCAAGGCTGCTAAATATTCTGGGAAGGTCTGTCTTGGTGTCTCCTTTAGTGCTTTTTTCATTACAAATGAGTAATTAAGTAGTCACAGACTGAGAGTCTGACTGGCTCTGCAGTTTGGAGGTTTACAACATTCTCATGGGGAAAAGTGTAGCTCAAATGCCTCATTTAAAAGGTTATTATGTAAAATGGAATTATTTCAACCTAAAGGACTGTGAGAAAACTAATTTAGAATATATGATATTCTGATGGTTAAGCACATCCGTCGAAGTTGTGGGAAACCTGAATTTATGTCTCTGCTCAACAGTCCAGTAGACTGGGAATTTGGAAACGAGTCTTTTGCCTCCAAGCTACGTGCGTTATGCACTGAACTGTTACAGAGGAAGCAGCTCTTTCTAGTTTATTTTCAGCAAAGGACTGACCTGGCTTTACTGTCCAAAGTCAAAGAGTCATAGCTGGATACCAAGTGCAGAGATAAGCACCTTGCTATTTTTGGAGAACAGGACCAAAAATACTGCCTTCTGTGAACCACCTTCTAAGACGCTTCACTGTCCTGCTTAACAATCGCTCTCAGCCTGCACTTAGCCTCAAGGTTGCTGTGTCTATTTCAGGGTTTGAAAATATAAAAGCATTTTTCAGACATATCAATCTAACAGGCTTTATATCTCCCCACAAACCGTGTCTCAAAGTCCTCAGGAATGAATAAGATCCTAGCTTGAGGCTGAGGATCCTATGAGGCAAAAAGGCACCTTCTTAGAGCTAGGTGTTGCAGTGCTGAACTTCTCAGTTCTCACTCCCTCTTTGTTGCCCGTCTACTTGTTTTCACTGCTCAAATTCATCACCAATAAAGACGACAGATACATTCCACATTTTTTTAGTTTCCATCTATTTTGTATTCAAAATGCAAGACTTTTTAACTTTGTTTTCTCTCACCACTGCTTCCCTGCTCCCCCACGGACAGCCCATTTGCAGCCCTCCATTCCTTTCACCTCCAGAAAAGGAGAGGCAATTTCTACCTGCCCTCCAAACCCCTGCATTTCCTGTGAAACAAGAACTGATACACTTTGAAATGTTTGTTTCAGCTCTCCTGCTGTCCAGTCAAGTAACACAGAACAAAAGGAAGCTTTCATTGCCTTTTGTCTTTGTGATTCGATTTCTAAAGAGGAATATGGATTCTTCAGCATAAGGCAATAAGTTTTTCAAAGATGCAGAATCCACATGAAGTTTTTAGAAGGAAAATACTGACACTATAGAGGGACTGCAGCTTAGTTTCCTTCTAGTTATATCAGTTACCTGGCACCTTAGAAGGAGAAAGTGCTACTCCACTTTCCATATCTGTAAGCATAAAGATGCTTTCCAAAGGAAAGACACAAATTTATTGAGAAATTTCAAATATCAAGACTGCGGGCTGTGCCAGTTCCAATCACCTTCTCAAATCTCATGAGATCATACCACCACAGGTATTTATCACATCTCCCAGTAATTTGAGGAGTTAGAGATAATCTGACTCTGTTACAGTGAATTATAATATCAATGAAAGGTTCCAAATATACGTAAAGTGGAACTTTACTGAAGTTGCAAATTGCTGCCCCAAAGCGGAGAAGTATTTTGCGCACATTTGTGCAGCTCAAATGCAAAATCACAGGAACATAATTACACTAAGAGTTTCACCTTGTCAACACAGATTGCCTGGGATTGTTCTCAAAACTGCCTGAAAGATGTATGTCTATATTCCTTTTCTGATCAGTGCAAAGAAACAGACATTTCTATGACATAACAGATGTCCATAGAGCAAAATTAGTTAGGATAATGCAGACCATGCCTCAGGAACTATTTTTAGTGGTGATTAGACAGAGTTCAGATGATTAACTTAGGTTTGAACATCACAGACACTTAAAACTAGGTGAGATGAATCACATCTTTTATGTTATTACTCAAATTTTACTATATGCCTGTGGAGCTACTGTGTTGTATTCAGAGAAATTGGAACACGAAGTCAAACAATTACCAAGAATCGCAAAGAAACTCGGTATCAAAACAGATTAACATGTATGAGTTAATAGACTCAGGCTTCAATTTCATATTATGCTCTGTCACAGTCTTCCTAATCCCAGCATTTCTCATGCTTAATCTCAAGCAATTGGTGAAACTTGCCCTTTTCTCTACAACACGCTCAATATTGCCTACATGTCATCATCTTTTTCCTCACACATTCAAAGCAATCTCATGCAAGTATCAACCTGATAAATATTTTTCGAATTCATGTTTTGCTTGTAGAATTTATAACTATTACGGAAACTACTCAGCCATGAAATGGGAGCAGATACTGGATAAGAAACAAGTTCAGACACAGAAAATGAAAAAGAAGGAAAACTAAGTTATTCTTGCTATTAAATATATCCAGTAACAAATATGGTGACCATCATCTTGACAAACACACCTACCTGAACTGCTTAAAGTAGGACTCTGCTTCTTATGTTAGAAGTCAGTTCCACCACTGAGATGAGTAACACAATCACATTCCACTGTGGACATGTGAAATGTCAGCAATAATTATTTAATTCTCAAAACTAGAAAGAGTTTTTGCACTTTACTGTAGATACCGATGACCTACCATGCTGTGAGCTGCATTTGTGTTTCTCCAAAGTTTAAAGATGCACAGATTGATCAATACTTTGGCAGCCAATTATAAAGAAACTGCAAATGCTCAATAAAACCAAAGAAGGAAGGCAGTCCCTACAATCTTCCAAGCTGCAGAGGGTTATCACTTATCTCTTCCCAAGACAACCAGGAAAAAATTCTTACTCATACGAGCTACTCAAATGTAAAGGTTTTGAGAATGCTTTGTGGAGATTTAGCTAAACATACCTTTAGACAGCTTTTTTCCTGTCCAGTAAAGGAGCATAAATACATATTTCATAGTTGGATTTTGCGCAAAGTTTTTTCCAAAGCCTTGAGGTATATTCTTTCACTATTTGAAGAACAGAATGGAGAACCTGAAAGAGTATCTCTGGCATCTCAGCCTGGCACTATTTAACAGGATCCCAAGAACACCAGGAAGCAGGAAAACACCACATCAATCTCTTTGCTAAGTTTTGAACGCAAAAGTGAGCCAAAGGGAGGCTAGAAACTGAGGAGAATTCTCCAGGCTCCACATGGGCTTTCATTTAAACACTCTGCTGGGATACTTGCAACTCTGCAGCTAAGACCACAAAAACACATAAGACCACCTGTGTGACTACCACATCTAGCCTTTGCAGTTCATCATGAAAAGTAATGCTTGATAGCTTTTATCTTTTCTTATTTAAAGCAGATTGTCACACGGCATGTCATATCCATCATTCTGTGCTCACTCTCACACTGAACAAGAGAAAGGAAAATTTGGAACAAGCTCTGTGAATGCTTTAATATTCTTTCAAAGAAAGTAGGTTTTGTTTGAATCAATCTCAACTGTTCTACCACTTATTCCACAGGGGAAATATATATGTCTTCTAATAAATTATGTGAATTTATGTACATAGAAAGTGGAGAAAGTCATTAAAAGGTTTTGAACAGATTTTTTATCAGTTTATATGTCCCATACAATTACATTTAAATGTAGATTTGGGAAAACAACATCTGCCCTGAGTAAGCTGACATTTTTCCTCTTTTTCCATTTTGTTAATCAACCACTACCTAAGCCGTTATTCATTATAAGTAACAATGTTTGGCATAGGACTTCATTTCCCCTAAAGGATCCCAAAGCAAACTTTGTCTAGTGAGGTCACTTCCACTACTGGCCTCAGGTATATTACTCCAGGTGCTTAAATCACAATGCAGTGAGGAACCTTTGATAAGAAATATGCAGAATAACTAATTTTAAGTCAAATGGATCCTTACATGGAAGTAATCTGTTTAGATCTTCTGTATAATGTAGTCTATATAAACTCAACACTCCTTATAGATAGATTGTCTTGATTTGAAGATATCAGGTAGATCATCCGTAGATCAGGATTCTCAGATGTATCACTCCTACGCAGGTAGGAAATTTCTTGCCTTCTTACCAAAGGCAAGGAAGCATCTTCAATCATACCTGCAGAGGAGGAGCACAGCTTTCAGACACACACAGATCTCTTCACCTGCACTGAATAGCTAACTTAATTTTAAAAGCAAGGGAAAATCACTGAAACATTCATGGCACTAAATTAGAGACTTACTGTATATATGATGGGATTTTGTTTCTTTGCTGCCTAGATTCTCATCGGAGCAGTAATTGCCATGGGCTCAGCAGACCGAGATGGTCGTCTCCATCCTGGTGATGAGCTGGTGTATGTAGATGGAATTCCAGTGGCTGGCAAAACCCACCGATATGTGATTGATCTTATGCATAATGCTGCCCGAAACGGGCAAGTGAATCTTACTGTGAGGAGAAAGGTGCTACCCACGGGTGAGTGAAGGCTGGGAAAGGTGAAAGCAAAAACAGATCTCAATGCTGGCAGCACAAACAGGTGCTGTTTTAAAATAATAGAGACTGTGTCATTTTGAAGAAAGAATAATTGTAAATATGTGTCCCTTGTTTCTGTGACAAAAACACTACAGCTGAGTGTTGTTTCCTTCAGAACTGGAAACAATATTAGCAACCCCGGTGTGGTGATCATGAGTGCTCTGGATTTGTTCCGTGCTGTCTTGGTCTGTGCTGTCTCCTCTTGTCCACTTTTGGGACAAATTGTTCACCTAAGTTAAAGCTGTTAAAGCTGACTGTGTCAATAGGCAATCAGAGAAAGCTTCAAAGATTATTAACTGTTTAGGTCAGGAACTCATTTCACTCCTATATGTGTTAAAAGCCCATTTCTGGTCTCACTGATCTCATCTGGAATTTCGCTCCCCCCAACTGCAATGCAAGCTGGCTTAAAACCTTCTGTATGGCACAAGCGGCCCCTAGGAACAGGGCCAGATCCTCCCTCCAAGCAGACAGATTCCGAAAATAAACCTAAAACAATATGAAGAATTTTAAGTAAATGAAACCTTTAAACTAGCTGGGTCTCAATTGTTGAAAAACACTGGAACCTGGAAAAAGGTGTGGCAGCATCTATTAAAGCTTTAATGGGAGAATTTGCTGCCATTCCATTGCAACATTTGCTTACTCAAGGAAAAAAGTTTATTTAAGAACTTTAAAAACATTTGTGGTGAGTACATGTAACTGAGGCACCAGAAATGAGCAAAACCACGTTCCCAGCCTGTCCTGTCTTCTGCCTCCCCGTGCCCTAGATCTGCTGTCCTTGCCTGCGCTGTTCCCCTTCGCTCCCCTGCCAAAAAGCCGCCCTCCCACTCACCTTCATCTTCTCAGTCCCCCTCCCACTGCGGCACCGCAGCTCCCTGCCAGCCGCGCTCTCGCGGGACTGACTTTCTTCTGTTACTGACTCCAGAGTCCTCCAGCCAGAAAGGTCCCCCTCCGCCCGGCGCGACGCCCCCTCGCAGCTCCCCCAGCGCTAGGAAAATGGCCAATAACCAAGGTAATCCGCCGAGCGCTTGCGATTAGCACCTTTCCCGGGTCAGTCGGCTGTACAGACTGCGGGCAAAATTAGCAAGAGGGTTAGCACGGAGTGGATGCCAGCCTTTGCTGCTGCTTGTTAAATATTAAATAAAAGGGTCTATTAGGCAGTCTGGTCTCCTGGCACAGAAAATGAAGCAAGATGGTAAAACACCTGGAGTTATTCTTGGGCCTTGAGAGTGCCACACCGGGGATTATAGTGTGTAACTCATTAATGCTTAAGCATTTGAGGAGCTGAACAGGTTTTTAATTTGATGTGTTACAACACAAGCTTTGTGGAAAAATTTCAGAACTACTCAAGTTGGGCATGACTGAAAAATGCTATACTAACACATCAGTCCAATTGATTTCGTGTGAATTTCTCACTAGCGTGAATGTATTCAACGGAAGGAGCTGGGGCTTTCCTTACCTGCCTGATAGCTGATGTACGTATCTTATCCTTCACCTGGAACTGCTAGTTTGCACAGATACTCACCCAGATCTAGAACAGAATATCACCATTCACAAAGTCTGGAAAACAATTTGATTAGGAAAAGGTGGTATTTGCAACAACGCGGAGTAAAATGCCATTTTTTTCACAGGCAGAAGCAAAATGTAATTTTTCTGATGAATATCTATTGCACAGCTGACAATCGAATAGCCATTTAAACTTTTCCTCCTTTATCTTTCTTTTCCTATACTTAATGGCATTCCATTGCATTCTTCTATGGCCAAGCCAGCTCTTGGTCATTCTGCAGGGTAAGATAATTTCCTTTCTGTTGCAGCCATACTGACACAAACAATATTCAGCTTTCTGAAACATGACAGCCAGAAAATGAGATCTCTCTTGTCACTGACTATGGCATTTAGTTGCAGATTTGGTTCAATAACTCTTGGAGATTTTCAGTTCTAATGCAGGAGTATAATAATTGTTTGTTTTTCTTCCTCTATATTCTCTCTAATCACTTTATTTCACAGTTGCAGAAGGACTGCTAAAGGACACACCTGACTGAGAAAACAACAGCTTGTCCTTGGATGATGTTTATTTTATTAATACATACACACTGAAGGTCTAATTTGCAAGCTCTCTTCCTAGGATGTATGTGTGTATGCGTAAGCTCTTCATGTGTTCAGTAGAACGACTCTGCCACTCTCATTGCTCCAAACAGAAAACATATTACATTCATCTGAAACTTCTGTGTTAAAACTGTCAATAAATGCTGATTTGTGTAAACACCTGAGATCTGTGAGGAATATAAATCTTTTTCCCCATCTGGAAGTGTAACTTTACTGTTTGCAATTGCCAAAATGCTTGTATAAAAAAGTGTGTAATTCCACAAGATTTAACTTGTTCCCTGTTCTTGTTACTACAAAGCAATACTGAAGTGTGGATGGACTCCATTTTCACTTCGACCCTTTCAAACTCACCACACAAGAGCATCTTCAAAACCTTTAAATGACCACTGCTTCTCTTACGACACCCACATAAAAACTATTTGTGACTATTTTTCATTGTATAACTGCTCTGTTCCATGAACATCTTTTGAGCATGCTAGTCCACTTGTAAGAACATTAGGCAGCTAATCCTAATTACTCTATGTTGGCTGCCTGCTTAAATTCTTTTAATCCAAGCACAAATAATTTTATATTGGATTAGACAGTCACATTTTCCTCTTGATGACAGATCAACTAGCAGACAAAGGAATAGTGCTTGCTAACGTTTTTGCAATACAGATAGCCACTGTTTCTTACTTTCGTTTCCTCTCTTCTAGATAGCTTAGCAGTGAGCACTCATGCTTGCTCTATCTGATTGCCCTTGAATGTTTTGCATAATTGTGTAGATTCCTGTCTCTCTGCATCTATTACAGCTCCTAGTTTAATACTTGAGGTAGCCTGGGCTATAGACAGTCAACTGTATTCATGTTGCATTAGCAAATGTACTGTAAGCCACAGAGCCACTGAGCAAGTCAGACTGTAATACTGGTGTGATTTATCTTGTAGGAGAACCATGCCCAGAGAATGGCAGAAGCCCAGGCTCGGTGTCTACGCACCACAGTTCTCCAAGAAGTGACTACACTACTTATGCTAACAGTAATCATGCTGTCTCTAGTAGCAATGCTACACCCCCCGAGGGCTTCACTTCTCACAGCCTGCAAACCAGCGACGTGGTGATCCATCGCAAGGAGAATGAAGGCTTTGGCTTTGTTATCATCAGCTCCCTGAATAGGCCCGAATCTGGGTCCACAATAAGTAAGTAAATAACATTTTTCAGTTTGTATTTTTCCAAGTTTGCTCCAAATAAAAAAAAAAAAAAAATTAATTAAAACCTGATATCTGCTGATTAATCGCTGCAGAGATTAAAACTGAAGAGACTCTCAAGGTTGCTTCCACGGGCACCATTTCTTTGTCTGTTGTGCCTTGGACAAAACCGAGGGTTATTCTGACCTCTGAGGCTCTGTGCTTCACGCACTCACTTGGCTGTTAGTGTACGACAGGATTTACCCACAAAGCAGATTTTCTCTGTTCCTATATTCCAAAGAGATACTCTGCAGGTAACCAGTAGGGTTATGTGAATAAATTATTCCCCTGCACGTGAGTGAATTATACTTTTTTTTTTTTTTTTTTTTTTAATTAAGATGAAGTTCAGGAAGTTGAAATAAAGCTTAGATCAAAGCAAACCCCATGACAGCAGCTGTCCAGTTAGGGCACTGCAGAAGCAATGGGAAAATGGGAAAACAGGTTAGACACAGGTGCAGAAAGGTTGATTTTTTTAACTGGCTGGAGTATAGTGTGAGATAGGATAAAATTACAACTGAGTACAGAGAAATGATGTGGCAGGATCTGCCCTTAATAATTATAGCTCACTCTCTGACCAGAAAACTAATGTTTGCTGGGAATCAACTTTATTGCTTTAATAGAGGCATCTGGTGCCATTTGAGATGTCCTGGGTACATGTAGGGAGAGGTCAGGCTGATGTGACACAAGACCCACAGGAGACTCAGACCCTTTGATGGTGGCAGCTGCAGGTACAGGTGCACCCTTGGGTGTTTCAAATGGCATTTAACCAACTGAGAGCTGAGCCCATCCAAAGGAAGAAGCATAAAAGGTTTTATGTTGAGAGACATCCACATCTCCCACCAAATCCATCTGAAATTGTGAATGCTAACCACTGCCGAAAAAACAAGACAAGTGAGAACATAGGTCATTTTGCAAGTTGTAGCCTAATGTGGTCCTTTCCCTGCATTCAAAACATGTTTTGAAAAAATTGTTCTTTTGCCGAAAACTGGTTCCTGAGGGAAAAAAAATCACAATTTCAAGTTTTAGGACCAAATTTCACTCTTTTAAATTCATAACATAAAAGCAGCTAGGAGAGTACTTGGAAAGCTGTTTCTCACAATAGCAAATGACCTCAGAAAACCTCTTTGCAGTACTTCATGATCATGCAGTTATTAAAAGAGTTGCTTTTCATATTACTTCAGCTGAATTTTAAAATTCCATGATTGCCAGAATTAATATTGTAACAAAACCATGGGTAATTAGCCTCTTGGGACTCTGAGTTTTCACTTTATTGAATATAATAGCCAACTGGAATTTCTTTGCAGAAGATCAGACAGGGAAAAAAAAAAATCCATAGAGGACATTAAGATACATACATATTAATCAGTTAAGTCAGTCATGAATTTTTCAAGAAAATTGTTTCACAGATAGGATTTGTGTTTGGGGGAGATGGAGAGAGAGAGGAAAGGAAGAGAAAGAGAGAATGCCCAAGCAGCCAAAAGTTCTGTGACTGGAGTATTCCACTGAAGACAACAGACCCAGGTTCAAGATCCTGATTTGCCTCCTACCCTCCAACATGTTCTTGTGGTACTTTTCTTTGTCCCCAAGTAACTACATAGGTAGCCACTGTTTAATCTCAGTTGAACATCTCCAATAGTGAAGGAAGATGACAGTGTTCTGTGGAAGTGACAAGTGAGTTTATTCAAATAACAACTGCATTGAATTTCAGTGATCCCAAAAAGCGCTCAGATCCCAAGTTTAGAAGAACAGCAATGAACCAAAAAATGGCATTTACTGTAGACACTGACAGAACAGACAAGAAAATACCCTTTCTACATGAATTCTGTTCCAAAACTGTAATAGAAAAAATAAGCTCAAAATGACATAATCTGTCATCAGTAATAAAAATAGTCTAAAAATCATTGAGTATTTGTAGTTTAAGGGAGGTTCATTTTCTTTACTTAATATTTATTTGGGTGAAGTAATTTGGGCTTTATTAACAGGAGCATGGCCAGTAGATTGAGGGGAAATTAATATCCCCCTTTACTCAGCACTTGTTAGGAAACATCTAGAACACAGCATCCAAGTTTTGGGGCCTTTGGGAGAAGACAGAACAGACGAACTTCACCAACAGCGACTGAGACCTCCTGAGGTCCCTTTCACCTTGAAATAACCTGAAATCTTTTGATTAAAATGTACAGTCCAGGCATAGAAAGCATACTAACAGTAGCAAAATATCAACTAGATGTAGGAGATGTAATGTCCAAAATACAGCTTACATCCGTATCAAAATATGGATCTGCGTGGCAACATGTCAAGCACTTAGATAGTCACTCATTTCTTATAGCAGTGGTATGTTAACCCGGTGAAATGTTGTACTATAGTTCCAGTGTTTCTGGCTTCAGCGCCAGTGTACTTGTTGCCAGCTTGAGTATCCCCATGTGGCACAGAATGATGCTGTGCAGACATACCCTAAACATATGCAGTTAAATGTTAAAGTTGTAATTGCAAAGCAATGCTGAAAGAATCAAAATGGACAGAATAGGTCAGAAAAGGGCAGATCTTGTAGTGCCAGACACTACTAGGAATAGCATAGCCTAAGAAGTTGTCTCACTGGGAGCATCTGCACGGTAAAGTGAAGAAGAGTTCCTTTGATTTAAGAATGTTTATTTCAATAACTCTATTCCCTTCTCTACTTTCTTATAAAAGCAAAAGACTTGAGGACTTGGAAGTGTAAATATCATCATCACTTTTACTCAAGAAGGCAATTAATCGTGCACTGAAATTATTTTCCTTGTTCTTGAAATCTCTTATAAACTGTGTTTTACAATCCAACAAATTACAACAGCTCTGCTGAGTACAGGAGCGTGAACCTTGTGTTACCAGGCACTTGTTCTTCAAGCACTGTTAAAATTGAGGTAGTCATTCCAACAGAGTTGCTACTAGCCTGAGAGTCACAGGTTCACGGGTTTGCTGCTTTGCAGTTGGCCTAAAGCTCAAGGGGTTGCACAAAAGCTCACTCTCTGTTTGCCAGGCGAGTTAAAACTATCTCTGACTGTGAAGCTGTAGGACCACCCCAAGAAGTCGGAGTAGCAGTGCTCCAGCTGAGTCTCTTACCCCTTTCCCACCCTCTGATGGGGTGTGCGCTGCACTGCTCCCACGTAGCCTACTAGGAGTGCTTCACCCTCCCTGAGACCTGGAAAAGAGCCACGAAAGACTCTGGAGCTCCTAGAATCAAGGATGTCTTTCTTGTTTCAAGAGGCTTGAGGTCTTAGTCAAGTCTCAACATGCTTTGCAAGGGGTTTGCTGTTACTGTTGATTTACAGACCTGCCTTTGCCTTGCAGAAATTTTCAAAATACTAAGTGTGTTTTTTCTACCCTTGATACAGGCACAGAGGGAGGGCAGAGTACAGCCATAATTAGGGAATAGACTATTTTTTCACATTTTGTGATAGGCAGCACTGTAGTAGCTGTCATTTTAATAAATTACTAAGTAGTTTGGAGCCAGCCTTTAGATCTGGATGTAAATTTACTTACTAGTACCTGTTTAAACACCCAATTCTTGTGGCATATTTCTTTTCCTGTGTTCTATAATGGTAGAAATTTTATCTCCCCTTTGTCAAAGCATTGCTTGGGAAGTTTTGTAATCCATCACAGGGGATTATCTTGCACAGAACTACAGTTCTGATGTGGGGCAGGTCAGGAGTGGAAAATGAATGAGAAGGATTGAATGAAGAGATTTCACAGGGCAAAGCAGAGGCGTAGATAAGGTCAGACATGCTTCAAAATTGTATCAGTAAAAGAAGATAAAATGGATAAATAAAGAACTGTGTTTGAGTGGTAGGTCAAGGAGCAAGTCATTTTGGGTAGTGCAGAGCACAGAGGTTCTTGGGGTGCTAAGAGATTAAGAAAATAGAATACACCTGGCCAGGCTCCTGACCTGTTCCTAATGAAAGAGTTAACTTCCACTGCCCCTAAAAGATATTGTCATGCTTTCCTCCAGACCCTGTCCCAACATTAAGGCGTGCTTTGGCTCTTGTCCCTTCCTCAGTCAGACCACCTAAATTTGACATTACTCTGTGCTTTCTTTTGCTATGCAGGCTATACACAGTTCATCAAAATTTTCTCGTCTCCAATGGGATTTCCTTAGAGGACTCGGTGTCAAGTTTCCAACTGAATGCTTGGAAGCTAAGTCTGGTTTTCCACTTTTAGTTTAGGGTGGAGCTGGACTGATTTAACCTCACAGCTCTGTGGAGAACTTCTCAAGCAACAGCCTTTGCCAACCAAATTATGAACATCTTATAGATACCCTTATTCAGTGGCAGGGTTAAGTGGCTAAACTGAGCAAACTACAGCCTATTTCTGAAGTCCTCTCCTGAGGAACACCTTCATGCTCCCCCCAATAAAAATACTTGCAGCACGTGTGGTTCTGTGAGTAAGGGCTCCTGCTGGGGCCATCCCCTCCGAGTCTCCAGTGTCCTGCAGAAACGCATGAGGCTATGGAGGTGCAGCTGTGCCTGTGGCAGAATTGCTTCACACCACAGTACTGTGTCACATTACAGCTAAAATACTGAAATGGCATTAATTAATCTACCCTTTGCATTACATTTAGGATAATACTCAGTAGCGTGTGTCCTCTGTGGTAAAACTCTATTCTTGTGGAGGTTTTTAGGGTATCAAGGTAAGTTCACTATCTGCATCCCATGGAAAAGCACTTGCAGCCAGCTGGAAATGGCCAAAAGGAGATTTCTGGATTAATTTGTCCCAGGGCTTTGTGCAATACACTTCTCCCTGCCTACTTTGCATCTTCCTGCTGCTTTTACTTCATGTGTTTGGGATGCAGGTTTCTCTAGGAGAGGAACTTGTGATCCCCTGTAAATCTCTTAACACCCTAATTTCTGTAGAAAGAAACCATGTATTGTAAACAGATCTTGTTAACTGGCAGTTTCCAGCAAAATTGGAAAATTGGCAAT